ATAACGGACTGTTGTTCAGCGGGCTCCTCCGAGGGCCCTTAGAGCCGGAGCTCACCTGACTTGACCTGAGTCTGGCCGTCAGTCCGCCCAGCAGTGAGGCCCTTGTGGAATTGCTCCTCTCTGCTGTTGCCTCCCAGCCCACAGTGTTCTGCAGACGCGCATCTCACCAGCAAACGTGCCCTAGGCTCAGATGTGAGGGCGCCCCATGCGCTCATTAAAGTCTCCATGGTCTTGTGGCCTGTGGGGACACAGTGCTGGGGAGCGCTGACCCCATGGGTCCTCCCTCTGCTGCCCAGGCCAGCCCCCGGGCAGTCCTGCAGTGCACAGGTTCCCGCCTTCTATTTGTGGTCGCTATGGAGACGTTAGAAGCGCCCTTTCTAAAGCTCAGCACACAATGAAGCACTTCAAGTGTTGGTGGGATTAGAGACTTTAGAAGATGTTTAATTTCTACCCCACTCTTTCTCTCTTTTTGTCTCTTTAGAGAGAGAACAAGAGGGCAATGTGAATATTAACTGGGACTAGCTTTAATCTCCCTGTGACACTTAGGGCTGCCAGGGTCCCCACCCGCCATCCGAGGTCCTGGCCTCTCTCAGCACTAACAAGGGAGGTCATCCATATTCATGATCCGGCTGGGCAGCTAGGAGGTCAGTGCGCAGGACTGACCCAAGTTGGAAGATGGCTTTCTTTACGACTCACATGCCTGGAAAGGACAACTCCAAAAAGTGGAATTGGAGTCCAGGGTGACCGTGCTGGATGTCCTCGCTGGAGGTCGGGCAGATGAAAGGGCCCTTGTCTGGGGTCTTGCTTCTACACAGGCAACACGGGCTGCAAACTCGGTCCAGAGGGCTCATTGGCCCTGCCTGCCGAAGGAGAGGGCTGGCAGCAGTGAGCCTGGCTCGTGGAAGTAAACTTCCTGGGAGAAGATGGAACACCCAGGCCAGCCTAGCCAGCGAGGGCACCCACTCCACAGGGAAATGGGGCTCGTTGGGGTTTTGTTGGTCATTTAATATTCTGTTATTATGTGAGAGGACTTCACAGGGTTTGCAGGCAAATGGAGTTGAAAGAAAGAATTTTTTCACAATCTTTTTGAAGCCCCTTGGGAACATTTATTTTCTGTTGTTGCTGAGGAAAAAACAGCAAAACATACACCAATTCAACCACTTCTGCTGCTACCATTCAGTGACATGCTTGGATCCAGGCAAAGTGCTTTGCCCTCATCTGGGTTGCTCCCCTGCCCTGACAGACACTGTTGAGTCCACCCCACGAGTAGCTCTGACAGGAGCCCAGCACTGCAGGCAGACCTCCTTCAACACTGACACTAAACTGTGCATTGCTTGAAAGAACATCAGGGCAGTTTAGCCTCCATGGCTCCAGAAAATCTTCCAGTTCCACAAGAAGTTGGCATTCTGTTCTGATATCCTCCTCCTGGACCTGGATTCTTCTGTAGAACCTGTGATCAGAACACTCAGTACCAGTAGCTGGGCGCCATCCAGTTCTTCTGCTCCCATGGCAGAGGAGGCAAGTAGCTTTACAGGCTATCTCCTTCTATTCTGACTCTCGCCCTCTGTTGATCCAGGTGTATTGAAACCAGTTGCAGTACCTCGATGGCTGCCTGTAAGCCATTTAAGACCCCAGGCACCATGTGCTGCATTAGGAGCTAGAAACACTCAACAGGTGTTAGGGCCGTTGATTGCTTTCATGTTAAGGTCTGTAGCACTATAAGCAGGTGGTGACTCGTGGTTGTGGCTTTCCCATCACTGCCCATCCTGTGAAGATCACCTAGGGAGAAGACAGGATGGTGCTGTTGGCTATGGTGTCTGGTGGGTGGGGTGTACCTTGGTGGCTATGCCGAGAGTCCACACCTCCTGACGTTGTTGGCAATCGTGATTCATTCAGAACATCAGACGCCTGAGCAGACAGCCTTTTCTCAGCACACTGTGAGCCCATCTCCCTTTGGTGCCCACCCTTTCCCCGCCCACAGAGGTGCTGCCTATGTTTGGTTGTCGGGAGTCTTCTATGCACAGGTATCCCTGTATTGGACCGTGGGGTCCTTTTATATGCAGCTTGGTTGACCCGGGCCCCTCGGTGGCAGAGTGCAGCTCCTTGGCCCAGCTGTGCTTGTTTCAGTTTTCCGTCCTCTCTTCTCTTAGCCCACAGAGGCCCGAGTCGGGGAGCCACCCTGAGGACCAGAGGAGTGCACAGGCCTCTGGCCGCAACAGCCCTCCAGACTCTACCCACACGGCAGGTGGGAGATGCATCCAGCAAATCGTGCTCAGCACCGCACTGGGGGCAGGGTGGGACTGACGAGACTGCCTGCCACCCACCCTCGAGGAAGGTGTCCCAGCCTGCCTGTCAGCAAGATCGTCCTGCACACCTTCTCACAGAGCCTCTGCTGCCGGGCCCGGATGCAGCTACACGGCCGTGGCCCTGCCCCAGAGCAGGGTGGGACGCCCTGTCAGGCTCTTGCCTGAATAGAACAAGGGGACATTGACTCAGGCTAGGGGTGGGGATGGGGCTCCCAGGGGTACTGTAGCCAAGCCCTTGAGAGTTAGTGCCCCTCACTTGGCACGGAGGGCACGTGATGGGGAGGGGTGTGCACAGACAACAGCTGCCCTCCAGATGCTGGTTGCTCCTGGCAGCAGCCACCCCAAGCTCCGTTTCCATTCAGTTCTGAGATTTCCCTCTACCTGCTTGCCATTCCCATAAGTGAGCACCTGAGCACTGCGGAAGAAAGAGCGTACGGCTGGTCCACGAATGTACCTCCTGTGCTCGTCCCCAGGCAGCGCCCTTTGTGGCCCAAGGGCCCTGAGACAGTGGGATGCGGTCTGACTGTGAAACTAGCCGCAGGCACTAGTAGTCTCTTCAGACTGCTGCTCGGACCCTCTGTGCCATCCAGCTGCTGTGCTGCAGTGGCCGTCTGGGCTCCAACTCAGGCTCTCTGCACAGTGGGGGAAGCTGAAGACCCCGGAAACGACTAGTCCAACCCACTGATGGGCCAGACCACACGCACTCCTGCCTCCACAACCCTGAGACCAGGAGGACTAGATGGTGCCCAGCCACCACCACAGCTTCTCGGAAAGGGATCCCATTAGAAGGTTCTCTGGATAGACTGGGAGGGAAATGTGGAACAAAACTAAAAATTAGGAAAGAGACCAGGCTCTTTTTCAGATGGAACTTGGAGTGATCCCCAGGACTCTGGCCCCGTGGCACCCTTCAGGTCTGGAACTCAACTCACTCCCGGTGCACTGTTTTAGCCAAGCAGCAGGCCAGGTCCACAGAGAAGCAGTAGACACCCTAGGGCAGTGGTCTCCACTTGTGGGTTGAGACCCCTTTGGAGGTCGAGGGTAGCCCGATTCATAACAGTCGCAAAATGA